GTATGTGTGTGTGTGTGTATGTATATATATATATATATATGTATATATATATGTATATATGTATATACAGTGTGTATATATATATGTGTATAAAATAGAATAGAATAGAAATGTTGCTTTGGCAGCAAAATGAAATATTAAAATATTTAACTGATATATTTAAGTTAAAGGGGTCATATGATGCGATTACAAGTTTTCCTTTCTCTTTGGAGTGTTACAAGCTGATTGTGCATAGATAAGATCCCTGAAGTTGCAAAGACTAAAGTCTCAAAACCAAAGAGATATTCTTTATCAAAGTTACGACTCTGCCACGCCCCCCTAAAACGGCTTGTTCTAACACTTCGGGCTCTGTCTTTACATTTATTTTGAAAGATGAAGCTTGCGATTATGGTAAGGGGCGTTACATTTCCGACGCGTGCTTGTGGTGTTCGGCCAATCACAATGCCCTGGGTCAGCTGGCCAATCAGAGCAGACTGCTCTTGTCGGAAGGAGGGACTTTGTAGAAAACGATGTGTTTGAGAGAGGCAGGGTATAGAGGACCTACAATAATGTACAGTATTTGAAAAATAATGTGTTTTTTGAACATTAAAGCATGTCAACATATTCTGTTACACCAAATACACAAAATAATGATCTTTAAAAAAGCATCATATGACCCCTTTAAAGTACTAAAATGACTAAAAATGAAAAATAAAGCTGTACAGAAATATAAAAATTACAAAAGCACATAAAATTACAAAAATGTAATAAAACTAAAAATGAAAATATAAACATTAAAGCTAATTAAAAATATTAATAAATACTATAATAATATATACACTATATTAAAACTGGGCTGGAGAATGGTGCAGAATCTGTTAATTTCTAGATTGACAATCTATATTTGCATGTAAAAGGTATTCTCTTACCACAGGTGAGAATGGTAAGCAAATAGGTGCTGGATTAATCCACAAATTGAGGTTATGTAACAGCATATAAATTCTTCCTTGTATGGTTAAACTCTTTTTAATTGCTTGTGTTTTAGTGTCAGATCTTGCTCCTGGGCAGAGCGGAGTGGATGACATGAAGCTGCTGGAGCAGAAGGCTCAACAGCTCGCTGCAGAGGCAGAACAGGACAAACCCAAACCTAAAGACAAGATCCTTTTCGTCAGGTATGCACTGCGCCCTAGTCTGAGGCAGGCCACACTGATCAATCAGAGCATGCAGGCGGTGTGGTACATAAAGCCGGCTCAGAGGCTTATTTAAAGGTTCTGCCCTTGTTTAAAATAAAGTTTCGATTGTACTATTTACATCACTTGACTTTTGTTTGGTTTGTACAGGAGTGACACCTCTCGCAGTGAACTCGCTGAACTGGCTAAACAAGCTAATCCAGATGAGATTGACATTGATGATGATGAAGATGAGGATGCAGAGGATGGGGAACCAGATGGTTAGTTCAGATGGGGCATGATTTTTTTTTTTTCTTCAGCAGCACTTTGATGACTTTCACTGGTGTGTTTTGGAACAGTTGCTTAACTATAGTAGTCTGATCATTTGCATTGTTTCATTGCAGAGGTGCAATTGGAGCAGAAGTCTGTCCCTACTGCTGTCTTTGGAGGACTAAAGGATGACTGAATTTGCCGCAGTTTTAGAGATGATCACAAAACACCTGGATTCAGTAATCAGGAAACAGAGAAATGAATACCAACGTGCTGATGTGAATTCATGTAAATGGCTAAGTGTACTGTAGCAATACCAATTCAGACCGCATGGTGTCACTCTTTGCAGCATTTACATGCTTTCAATTTGTTCATCATGACATTGGGTAGATAAAATGTTAAAGCGCTTGAACTATTGTTTACCCCTCTCGACTGTATATTAAAAGAACATTTAACATGCCTGACATCTGCAGATAATTTATTATCAGATTGCAATACTGTAAACACTCTGAAGGCACTGCCCATAATTGCATGGACACATGGGTGGAGCTTTTCAGATGTTTGTTTGTGCAAACATCTGAATGCTGTGGTTTGAGGAATATGCCAGTTTAAAAAAAGAAAAGAAAACTGCGCATTTGGTCAGTGATGTTACTCTGTCACTGTAAACTTTTATTATACAAGTTACTTCAACTGAAAGTTTAGGCTATTCCGTCTGTAGTGTGATGTGGAGTTATTTTTGAAGTTTTCCAGTCTGTGTTTATATAAATAAGCATAATTGGATTGTTTTAGTTGCAGTACATTTTGAATGCTGTTTCCACTACAAACGAAAAAAGGAAAACCAAAGAATGAAGAAAAACAAATGCCCTGTTCCTCCCTAATTAGATTAAAATAGTTCTCTGAGTTAATCTTCTTACAAAGTTACAGCAGTGGTCTCTTTAACATCATGTGACCTGGACCTTCACTGAATTATGTCCTCTGTTAGGTTTCTCCACAACTGAGCTGTGCTTATGAATCATTTTTGGTGAAAAGTCCTTACTGCATAAGTGCTTACATTGTTTTGGTGATAAACCAGTGACTATCAAACCCTTTTAGTGACATGCTGTGGCCTAAATACTGGTCATTTTATAAAATATCCACAACATCATGCTGGTCAGGCGAAATAATAGGCTATAACTTTGAAACAAAATATACCCTTTTCTCAAACACATGTATAAAAGAAATACAAAAAATTATTTCCAAAAACCCAATAAATCTGGTGCGGTTGACACTATACTCAGTCTAGCATTGTAACGCCGTGACGATTACATGCATTACGCTGTTCATAATGACTAATATTTCCCTTTCGCACACTTCTGGGCAAGTTCTACCTGTCCTGCACCTGTTTCCATGAGTTAAAGCGCCTTCCTACCTGCTGCTCGAGTTCACGTTCTTAGCCCCGCCCCCTCAACATTGGGTCCTAAATTCTGGAAGCTGATTGGATGCCCGGCGGGATGATTGACAGGAGTATGGAGTACCTGGAAATCAGACGCTTACGGAGCGTATCAGCTAGAGAGATGTGGACTCTGAAGCGGCGTCGAAAACAGTGAAACATCCCCGGGAATATCGCTGAATTAGTCGCTCAGATAGACTAAAACATACCTATACGTATGAAAAGAAGACCTAGAGAGGATTAAATTGTAAATTCCATTATTTTTTCTCCGGAACGTTACCCTAAATATCGGCCTTTCGCAGTCCCAATGCTGTGGTCGCGTGAAAGGAGAGGATGACTGTTTGATTTCGTTTCATTGCTCACCGCATCGCCTTCCTCTCTTTTTTTCTGATTTGGACCCGCTATGGTGGACTCGAATGCAATGAGGAAGACTTTTGTGGTCCCGGATATAAAGCCATTGGATCAGTATGATTTGCCCAGAGCCAAAATCTGCGCCAGTGTTGGGTGGCTTCTGGCGAAATCTTACGGCAATGCAGGTAAATACAGTGGCTGTGTGTCAAACCCTAGTGAGCTGCCTACCTAGATTGCTTTTATTTTTCTTCTGAGTCAGTTTAACATGTGTGGGCAGCATCATAATCCAAAACTGCGCAAAATATGCTGTCTGTGACCCCCCGAAATACAGTTTAGCTATGCAGCTCGCTGGGTTATGAGACAGCCATTTGAGTCTAATGTATTTTTATTTCCTTCTCAAATCATGTGCTCTTCTCTCTCTCACCTGTCTGTTTTGAGGCCAGCATTTGCTCATTGTTCAGTGACTGCGGATGAAGCATGTGTGAAGGTGAACAGCGTGTAAACTCAGCATTTTTCACAACACAAAGACCATATGAGAGGTGGAAAGCTGCTGGTTGTGATCCAGCAGTGTCTTGCTGCGATATACATTCAGTCTGGCTCTCTTGAATTACTGCTTTAATAAATTAATAGTCTGATGCAAGGTCTAAAAGTGTGCTTTCCACCCATTTGGCACTGATAACACATGAATAATATGATAAAATGTTTGTATGTATAATGCTATAACAGTCTTATGAGGACAAATCAGTCAGATTCGAATAATTATTATAAAAAATAATAATAACTATAAATAAGTAATTTTAAAATAAACAAAATTCTTAAATAAAACTAATTATGCCTTAATATGAGAGAGGATAAAATGTGTCCTTGTTTGCCCGTGATCATTTTCCATGTGGGCTTAATCCTTGCAGTAGACATGTTGTTGTCTGGGAATTATGATATATGATGGGAAGAAATGTAGTAGTTTTGAGCTGAATATGAATATATATGTGTTTTGTGACACCTATGTGTCATGAGGCGTGCACACACCCACGATCACGAACCCTTTTGTTAATACGCCCACAAGAGCACTTACAAAGATGCAGGAGGTCTTGGTTTCTGACAGAGCAGAAGACTGGTAATTACTAAAATGCTTAGTATGTTTAATTATTTGCTTTGGAAGTATGCATATATGCTGATGCTTTACGTGCATGGATAGTTCACATGGCGTGAAGCAGTGTCCTGCAGTGTGATGCCATAGCATCGCTTCCACTGCTGCTTATTAAAGTATATTAAAATATTTGTTTTGTATTAAAATACAAGTAAAATTTAAAGTAAAAATAGGCGTTAATAAAATATGCAGTGAATATTGGAATGAACTTCCAGAACAGAAATCTGAACATTGAATAAAGCCAGGTTCAGAATTCATATATTGAATATATTGAACAAGGCTTTTTCTTGAGTTGGTCACTTCGAAAAATCCTGTCAATAAAAAAAACAAACAAACAAACAAAAAAACAAATAAATTATAAAATTTCACCAAGTTTTTTTTTTTTTTTTTAAATAAAATAAAATACAAATGTGAAGTTTGTGTTTAGGTGCTGCTGAAGTGGAGATTTCTAAATCATTTTGAGAAAAGAGCCATCAAAGATATGCACTGTAATTAAAACCTATCATGCAAATATATGAAGTGTAATAAAATAAACACTTAAATGTGTATTTTGTATGTTTTCTCTCCACTAGTCAGAATGAAGACAAGTTATGGAAGCGAAATAGACCGAAATTTCAAAATTGACCAGTGCATAGAAAAAACAAAACAATTGTTTTGCCTGTAGTGTCTTGTCATTAAAAGAAATGGTCCCAGACACAGTCCCAGTGTCAAAAATATGCATTTTCATTTTTAACATTCAAATTCATTCAAAAAATGTCAATGTCATTTGTCAACTCAATTTATTTCCCACTGTGACCATGCAGCCTTGCATACTTGCATACTCTCTTGCCCTTTTTCTCTTTTGGACTTTTAGTTAACATCAGTATTGGTTATTGGATTTTAAAACAAGCATGAGAATATTTTTTCATTAGGCCTAGCTGATGCATCACTCGGTCTATTTGCACGGTGTATAATCTCCGTGTTCCCTTCACAGTCAGATGAGAAGGACCTCAGTGTATGGTGAGGTGCTCTGTGCTCACGAACAGTTCACTGGCCTGCGAATTGAAACTCACAAGTAAAAGATTTGTTTTTCTTTCTGGGTGCAGTAGACGGGGTAGTGAGTGTGTTTGTGTGATCTTGGATTGTTTTCAAAAAGCCCCATTGTGTTCACCTAATGAACCACTGTTAATTCAGATTGTAAGTCTGCATTCCTGTACTTGCTTTAGTCCTTGAGCCTGTTTAGAGTTGTCGTGAGCAAGCGCACAAACTGCAGACCTAGATTTAACGGTTCTCCTTACTCATAACGTTTAGCTCCGAAACGGGTGGAGAATTAGAAGATAATTAAAGCTGTTTCGTGTTTGCATGAGTAATGTAATCTTCAATCTGCAGTCTGTCATTTTCAACTAAACGAGTTTCGATTATGCAGTGGCGTGACCTCTGTTCTAAGGTTCTTCTAGAACATCAAGTTTATTGCATCAAGGGAAGTCAAAAATAACTCGTATATAATAAATAACAGAACATAAGCTAGAGCTATGCTGTTGCATTCCTGATAAGATGTTTCTGTCTGATGTTTTTGCCATAGAATGCATTGCTTAGTGCAAAAATGGCAAACGAGGTGAGAAAATAAACGTTTTATTATTAAAATTATTGATAAAAGTTCAATGTAATTAAAAATGTATTAGCCCATTTTTTCTAATATTTGTGTGTAATGTGTATTTTTGTGCCTACAATAGTATCACGCCGTTAGCTTAGTATTAGTAACAGCATTGAAATGGTGGGAAAAACTACATTACCCATGATTCTGCAGAGAAATCTGCACCAATCAGAGAATTGCAACAAGTGAATTGCACCAAAACAACACTTTACCACCCACTCCTATGAAGCACTGTGCATGCTTGCAATAAATGTAAAATACATTTTTGTATGGTAATATATATATATATATATATATAACATCTTTATATCAATAGTTTTGTATTTCTACGTTTTTGATTTGATTGTAATCGCAGTGCTTTGTAGTTCTTTCCCTCATTAATCTGTTAAGCACACAGTCTTGTCCCTTTATCTTTTTGGCAGATTTACAATTACATTTAGCCTATTTTTGCTTTGAATCGAAGTTTGTAATGTTGCGATACACCTCGTAACTGGTTGGTTTGGTTTATGACTTATATCTCCTTAACTAAGACTTTTAAAAATCTCTATGGGAAAAATACTTAGGGAAGGCTGCTGAAAAAAGGGGCGGGTGCTATGCACTCTATTGGAATCACTGGTAAGTCTTCCGTGTGTAGTGTTATTTGTATGGTGTGTGGAGTTTCTGCCTATGTAGAATCTTCCATCTATTTAATTTATGAGATTACCTGATGGCCATGATGCTGTCTTACTAGGCAGCTGCCTATGAAAGAAGCAAACAGTGAGGCAGCTCTCTAGTTTTTAAGCAGAGCTAATGTTTCAGTCACAATATGATCATGCTGAATTAAATATAGAAACACCTTAAACTTCTAGAAAATGTTCCTTTTTTTGCAGATTATCCGCCACACATAGTTAGTTAGGATCTGCCCTGAGTGTGAGAAACCGTCATCTCCTTAATTCACCTGGTTGATGTGTAATTAAGTTGTGAACGCCAGTGTGTGGCACTTCTGTTTGTATTCACTCCCTGCATCAATAGCAGACCTGCGCAACCACACCCTCTGGTCAAAATGTGCCCGGTCTGGCACACAGAGTCGAGTCGGAGAGAAATCTTACCAGATTAAAGAGGTTTGGCTGGAGTGATGGCTGTATTTTAGCGTTGAGACGTGACTGTGTGTGTGTGTGTGACTTTAGAGGTCTGATCCAGCGCTGCACATGATTCCCTGCTTGAACCCGATGACATCTTCGCTTTCACAGCGAGTCTGAGATGTAGCCCTCCTATTTATACCAGAGCCCCGGCCCTACGCTGAGCTGTAACCCACGCTTTTAAGGCATACTGTGCTGCTAATTGCTACCTGTGTTATCAGCAAGGCGTCTGTGCGAGTGAGTTTTTTGGCTTCACTCTGGATGAACTCGGCTCAATAAAAATCTATCCTTGGAGCGCTGTCCTATATGCAGGAGCTTTGAGTTCAATTACAGCCTGAATGCAGATGATGAGATTCAGCCGAGGCAAGCTTGACCATTACTGTAGCTTTTACTCTGGGGTTAAGGATTTTTCAAAACCTTTAACATAGCAAGCTTTGTTGCAAGTATTTGTGTTATGAATGTGAATTATAACTAAAAAATAGCCAGAAACTCACCATGCCTTGAAAAAAAGAAAAATCGAGACAAACATTTTTTAAAAAGAAGCCTGTACACTCTAATAATGAAAAATAAATATTGAATTCAAGATTTAAAAAAAAAACACTACTTTGATGAAAAAGTAGCAAAAATGTTGACCTTTTGAAAATGTTTGCCTTTTTTCATGAAAGTAGTGGTTTTTATCTTGCATTCAATTTTTATTTTTACAGAACAATGTACTAAAAAAAAAACAGTTTTTCTATGCATTTTCAAAAAGTTTTGCATACAGACAACATTGTCAAAATGACAAGTTCACAGATCCACAAAAAGACTAAAAATGCTGTATTCATGCCAGGCTAGTTGATGTTACTTTGTAAAGAAACACTGCACACATAACTATAAACTGAACACGTGATGCGTGAATTTTCACAAATTCACGTTTTTTGTAGTTTACACAAAAACAAATGTGCACGCAAAGAAAGATCGTGTGGTTTCAGGAACAGCAGTAGTGTTGATGCAGCCATGTCAGGGAGACAGTGTGTGTTTCAGTGGGAAAGCAAAAGCACTTTATTTGGCCTTCCGGAAGTAAATGCAATTAGGAATCATTGGTTAAGATTTATTTACAACAGAACAGCACAACCCAGATGTTCGAATTTGTGCAACGCATTTTATGGACGACAGTTTTTTGAACCTAGAAGAGTACAAGGCTGGCTGTGCACATATTCTGTTACACCAAATACACAAAATAATGATCCTTAAAATAGCAACATATGACCCCTTTAAAAGTTTTCCATTTTTAGCTGAAAATGGTGT